ACATCACTGGTATTTAGAATACTAGCAGGGTTACTAATGGTGAACATGTTTCATGAAGCTTCCACACAAAAAAAGACTAGGAAGAAGGAACTGGCAATTTACTTATGAAAAACTTGGTGAGTGAAAACACTTTCTATTATAGCATTGAAAGATGAGTCCTTTAGGTTTGAAAGCTTTCAAAACACATGTGGGGAAGAAATTCAGCCTCAAAATAGAGTCAACATTAACTCATCCTTAAGGATTTGCATAGCTAACCCAAAAGCCATGCTTCTAAGGGAGCTCTGGTGGCCTAGTGGCAAGAAGCTGAACTGCAATCCCAGAGTTACTCTGAATCCACCAGATGCTCTGCTGGAGAAGGAGGGGCAATCTCCTCCTGTACCAGTTAGATCCAATTTTACGGTACAAAGGCAAAAAATAACAAAATTTTTTTTTTTTTAAAAAAGCAAGCCATGCTTCTCTGGCAGTTCAAATCCACCAATAGTGCTTCAGAAGAAAGATAGACAGTCTCTTCCAAATAATTTACAGCCTTGGAAAACCAATGGATGGTCAGTTATAAGTCACTTCTTACTCAATGGCAATGAGTGGGATTTTTTCAAGGGGGTGGATTTTAGGGTTTGGGGAGTCTTTTTAGTAATGACATAGATAGAATAAAGCTTTTGGAGCCTTCATTTGCTTTCATTGTATGATTGAAAAATAAGAAGAAACACTCACTAATAATTAGAACACAGACAAACAATTAGAACAACGTCTCAATCCAGGAAAATGAGAAGTAGGTAGAAATTAAATGAAACACTGGAAGGAGGCACTCTCACTCATTCACTCTCATTGCTGCTAAGTCGGAGCCTGCTCATAGCTGACCCTCCAGTGGGGTTTCAGAGGCTGTAAACTGCACAGGAAGAGGTTTCCCATCTTTCTCCCGTGGAGCTGCTAGTGGATTTGAATTGTCAGAGTGGCACCACCTTTGCATTAGCAGTGCAACGCCCTGAGGATTAAGGCGCTGAGCTCATTGAAGAAGGTGTTAGTGACCTGAAATGGACTGGTGTTGGTCATTTTGAATTGGATAATCACATGATCTACTATGGCAGGCTTGACACATTGAAAGGGAACCATATCATCTTCATCATCACAAAGAAAACTGCATGATCAATCATGAGAGAGGGAGCTCTGGTGGCTTAGTGGTAAGGAGTTGGAGTTTTAATCCACCAGGCGATCCACAAGATAAAGATCTCTTCTTGTCCAATTTACTGCCTCTCAAAATCCACTGGAAGGTCAGCTATGAATCAGTTCTAACTTGACAGTACATAACAACAACATCAAATACAATGCTGTGAGTAACAGGAAATTATTCATATGCCTACAAAGTAGATGAACATGAAGAATAAAACGATTATTATTCAAATATAATGCCAAAGCTGAGTAAAATGAGAGTTTTACAAGCTTCTATAATGTAAAATTAATTGATCAAGCAAGAAGCAATAATAATTACTGGTGATTAGAATATGAAAGTTTAAAACAAAGAGAAAGGATCAGTACAGTATATGGCCATGGTTATAGAAACACTAGGGAACATATAGTGGAATTATGTTCAACTAACTACTGATTTACTGTAAATTCCTTCTCCAACAACATGAATGGCAACAATACACATGGATATCACCAGATGGAACATATAGGGATCAGATCAACAACTTTTGTGGAAAGAGATCATAGAGTAATTCAATATTATTAATTAGAACAGGCCAGGCCAACTGTGGAACAGCTCACATATAAGATGATCAAGAACCAATGTTATTGAAGGAAGTTGAAGTGCATTGAAGGCATTGGTGAAAAGAAGGCTCTAGTAATTAATGAAGAAATCAACCGAAATGTTTCAACAAACAAATGCAATACTGGAAACATTTATTCTATGTCTAGAAACTTGGAAGACGGTTACCTGAACAAATGACTGAGAAAGATCAGTAGTGCAGAAATCACTAAATTTTGTTAATAATACACACAAGTAAAACTATGCAAAATATAATTCCAAAACAGTTGCAATAATAGCACATGGGCAGAGAACTGCCAGAATTTCAAACTTTATTTAGAGAATGTGAAACATCACTGTTGGTGGCATATGGATCTTGGTTGAAAGCAGAGATCTTTACCTGTGTTTTTTGACTATGCAAAGACATTGAACTCTATGGATCGTAAATTATTAATGTGTAGAACGGGAATTCCAAAACACTTAAATGTGATCATACAGAACCTGTACAGTGACTAAGATACAGTTATTTAAGCAAAAAAGAAGATTTGTGCACTTTACTTCATGAAAAGGTATATGTATTTACATCCTTTCACTATTCTTATTATTTCAATCTATATGCTATGCTAATAATCTAAGAAACTGGACAAGATGAAGTAAATGGCATCAAGACTGAAGGAAGACTCAACTCATTAACAACTTCTGGTATGAAAATGACATAGCCTTTAAAAGTGAAGTCCAAAAAAAAAAAAAAAAGTGAAGTGGATTTAACACATTGCCGCACACTTTTAAATTGACAACCATGCTTAAAAACACATTTTGCCGTCATTTGCGGCAATGTGTTAAAGTACTTATTGATGAAGAAAGAATAAAGGCTATATAGTCTTCCATGTGGATTACATTTTAACATAAAGGAAAACAAAAGTCCTCACAAAATTGGACCACAAACTGGAGAAAAGTTTGAAACTGTTAAGGATTTCATTGTACTTGGGTCCATATTCAATGCTTATAAAAGCAGCAGTCCAGATATCAAACCACACAGTGAATTAGACAAAACAGTTGCAAAGAACCTCATGAGCCCATTATTGTGGAAGTGTTGTTGTTATGTTGTTATGTGCCATCGAGTCGTTTCCGACTCATAGCGACCCTATGCACAACAGCCCTAAACCCTGCTCTATCCTGCGCCAACCACACCGCCTCT